CCCGTAACATCTTTTTAGCAAGTTGTTCGGGGCAACAGAGGGACTTTGTGGAATTTACCTAGTCATACGTCCTCTGTCATAGTATTTATGATGATTTCAAACATCGGAATGTTGAGGTGATGCATTTCCAGACGTTCCGCCAGCATCGTAGTCGGCATCACCAGTGAGGCGTGCCATCCTTATCAAACTTGTAACTAGGTGCTAAGGATAGTGCCCCTCACTGACGTCGTCGACTACGATGCTGGCGAAGCGTTTGGAAATGAACTAAGTCAATGGCCAGATTATGGGAATCATCATGAATACTATGGCAGAGGAAGTAGGACTAGACACGTACCACAAGGTCTCCCTCTCGCTACAAACAAGTTGCGAGAACGAGATCAAACCAACACTATTTGGTTGAAGGATACTAAGAAGAAAAAAAAAGCTCCAGCATCATGGTCTTCATATCTACGATAAAATGAATAATTTAGGAGAAATAAAAGCGAACCCGGATACAACTTCATTCTTTCAGCTTTGTACTTCTTATACTGAGACTGCGTGGACTCAAGTAGAGGAATGATGATTTCCTATAAACAAAATAGGAAAATAAGATGGAGAGAATATGAAAACCAAAGCTCTTTAAAATAATAAAAATAGATTTATAAAACGGTGCGAATGGTGCGCAATGGAAAAAATGTGAAAAAAAGTATGAGAGCAGAACGTCTTGTAGAGAGCAAGCCTTGCATTTTTTGGTTGCAGAGTCCCGATTCTATCCCTTTTAAACACAATGCTAGCGTGAGTTTATCGTGTCAGCACTGAATAGCACAGCGCGCTTGGTACAGTCTGTCTATGCATGTAGGCCCCATATACTAACTTGCATACTCAGTCAGGGAAGTATCCCTCCATTTTCTGTGCTTGCCACACATCAGTGCACTCCTCTCGCAAAGACTCCGCTCCCACAGGCTTGATGAACCCGTCGGTCTGTTAAGTTACCATAACTGCCTTTTTGCTAAGAAAATCAAGGTGATGAAGGAGCGGCAGTTAAATTTTCTCACAATTATATGAATTACGTTTTCATTGAATATCACATAGTCTTGATTCCCAAAAGATATTCTCATTCAGAGCAGGACTGGCGTTTCGACTTTGACTAGGTCTCATCAGCAACACCAGCCGTACTCTAGTCCTACTTGTGGTAATGCAGTATATAATTCTGAAATGTTAATCATTACGCAAGATGGTCACGAGTGCCTTAGGGTGACAAGATGGATGTGAATTTCAAAAAAAGTCAGGCAGTTCTAAGAGAACAGTTCTCTCGAGGGATTGTTTATGAAGCAAAGTTGTATTTGCTACAGCAATCATCTCGAAAACCTACTTTTAAACGAAAAAAGTAATTAAGCCGATTGCTATAAAAAATACAACTTTGCCTTCTCGACAATCCCACCACAGTATGTGACAAGAAAAGATCTGGCCTTCCTTGAAATTTTCATTTGCCCTTTGACCTAAGAGCACTCGTGACAGTCTAGCTTAGTGAATGACGTGTAGAGATTATACGTTGCACCACCATAACTCGAGTTCGAGTCCCGCTGGAGGTGCTGATGAGACCTAGGTAAGGTCGAAACTGCAGTCAACCAGAATTGAGAATACCCTTCAGGGAAGCAAGGTCATGTGAAATTCAATGGAAAAGTAAGGCCTAACTCAAATTAATGTCGGAAAATTCAGCTACTAGTCCTTCATCACCTTGAAATAAATAGTGAATAGATCTCATATATATGAGCTAATGGAAGTCTCGAAAACATTATTACAAATGAAAAATAAGGGGGTTAAAGTTGGCTTTTGTATAAGTGGCATATATCTTTTCCCACGTCGAGTTAGGAATTTGAGGCCTGTGAGAGAAGACTAATGAGATTTCCCAGGCAGCTTTAAATCAAAACTGAGCTCTCACATTCATTTATGTGTTAGCACAATACTAGCAGCTAAATGTTGAGACTTAGCCATCCTAGGTCGCTCAAGGTGATTTAAGGACTGATAGTTGAGTTTTACCACATAGAGATAGACAGGCCTCAAGATACCATTAAATATGACTTAGCCTTTCCTCCAAAAAGTCTATTTCGTCCTGGCTAGGATGGACTGCAATTTCGACCTCGTCTAGGGCTCCTCAGCACTTCAAGCCGGATTCGATATCAGGTGCCGGTGAGTCATAGGGCAACTAGGACATTAACAGACAAGCAAGGCCTCTCTCAAGTCACATTTATAGTGAGATTGCCAATCAAGCAAACATGTGCTTGCAATTGTAATCGATGACACTGTTCATCTTCGATGTAAGTAGTTTTCAAGACTCATTAATTCTTGGATAAGAGCTCACTCAGCCTAGGTGACTAAACATGTTTTACCATTGTGCATAGCCTTCGCGCGTCAAATAAACCAACAATTCCAGTTTTGAAAAAAGATTTACTCTACAGTGGTGTTTATTCATTACCTGATCGATTTACTCTATTGGCTCTGGCAATCCATGTCTGGTCTTCAATTTCTCTAAATTTGAGAGCAGGCATCATTTCTGGATGGGACAGGTGACCCTAAAATCAGTTTCTCCTTGGCATTCTTCCTATTGGCCTTCATAAGTCTACTTTGGACAAATTTGCCAAGGAAATGCGATCGTAAATATTCGATTTAAGACGCAGTTTAGATTACATTGTGGCACGGTCCCAACAGTGTAAAAGTTAATATATAAACAAAGTGACAGTAGTTTTTGATCATTCCAAAGGCTATTCTCATTGCCATATGACGCGTTAAAGCGTATCATATATGGAGAATCAAGGTGCATAAATATTTTGTCTCGATGTTTATGAACGAATATCTCAGATGACCTTCTCTATTCTTTCTCTTTCTCTCTATCCATCACACTCAATAATGGACAAATAATTAAAGTGGTATATAAACCACCTATATCATGGTATGATTTTGAAAGCACCTCGTTTTTTCACTCGGTATATTTTAATACTATGCATAATGTAAGCAACAATTACCATTGAGTCGATATTGTGTAGTATTAGCAAGTCAATTGAGCCCCCTCTTAAGTACTCATTTAGTTAGTTAATGTATGCAAACAATGATAAAAAGTGAGGGGCGAGTCTACCTGGCGCACTCATTACGTCATATGATAAGAAAAATTATAGGATAAATGCTGTAGTACTAATTGACTTTACTGAATGATATATCCTTATTTTAATTATAGACATTTTCATCATATTTCTTGAGTAGGCTACATGTTTAATTCATAAAGACCAGATGACTCATTGAGCGATATACCTGCTGGTCAATAAAACTGCAATAATGATCACTAGTGTAGAGATGTATGGTAGCACTTTGTTGAGGTCAATATCAGAATTAGGTTCCCAGTTAATCTCCAAAATGTATACAGGTAGCATCATGGTTTATGCGAAATAAAAAATCCATATGATGCTGTTGATCCAAGTAAACATTCGAATAAAAATAAAATAACTACCTGGGGAGCGACTAGTCAGAGTTATTATAACACCATCGTTAATATTGGCTTAGTTAAATATAATTTTTCTAAGAATACTTGAAACAAGCATGCGTTACCGTTTTTCCAGGCCTGAGGATACGTCTCAAAGGGCTCTTCCATCAGTAGGTAGAGATAACTTATTTTATGGTCATCAAACCTTGACGGCCAAAAGAAGACGTTCATTTTTGCTGTTCCATCACTGAGGGTTTAGCGCATAAGCGAACACAAACCGGCACATACACATAGAGACCGACACACTCATAGGCATCAAAGTTTACATATGACCTCAACAAAACAAATCACTTTATACTTGATCAGAGGTCAGATATATGGTATATATACCACTGTTTAGGGATTTGCCGGTGAGTTTTCTTGACTCGTTAGCTTGAATTTTGTTGTGACGATGATACCTCGCTCTGATGATGTCCGTCATATGACGGACGAAAGCCTAGCACCTTTTCACCGGAATCGAAGGAGATTACCTCGGAAACAGCGTCAGTATAAATCTTCCAGTAAAGCCAATCGACAGCTGATCAAGAGGAATCCGCT